CTCCCTCCTCCCCTATCTTCTCTTCTTTTCTCCCCCTCCTCCCCTATCTCTTCTCCTCTTCCCTATCTTCTGCTTAGCTGGGCTGCCGATGCCGCTGACAGGGAAGCCTTGCCGGTCCGGGCGTGGTTTTCCTACTAACATCGAATGCCAGGCCCCTGCGTTCATCCTGTGCTGGGAATTGTGGGAACCGCAGGGAGTATGACAGACACATGCTCCTCCTCCAGTGTTAGTGAGAGGAATGCCGCCGGACCGGCGAGGCTGCCACCCGGTCCGGCGGCTCCAGCATCAAACGGCCGGCCCCCCCCACAGTGTGCCACCGGGCCGGCCACCCGGTGGCACCTGCAGTCCACAAATGCCGCCCACAATCTAGCCCTGCCGCCGGGCCCCCTGAAGGCGGCCCTGGCGGCGGGCCCCCCTCCCGGCCGGGCCCTCGGACCGTGTCCGAAGTGCCCGACCGGTCAGTCCGCCCCTGTGAGAGGGCATTCAATAAGAAGGGGCTGCCCAGAAGGTTCAAGTCTGGGGTGCAAGTATGAGAATGGGACAGTAATAGGATATTAGCATAGAGAAGAGGTCAGATGGAACATATGTGTTAATAAGGCAGGAAATATAAGCAGAGGAGTTATACAGCAAATTACATGCAGCAAACACTTTATTTTTCTTTTAATAAATTGTTATTGATTTTCAAAATATAAATACATGCATTATTCAATTATCAGAAACAATTACATATATAATGTAAGCTTACATATATGGACATGTGAAGAAAACGACATAACCTGAGTTACCTTAGAGCAGTGTAGGAGGGCAGGCTGTATAATGAGGGGAGAGGAGACTATATATATTCAACTCAGATCGTCTCTGGGTCTCAACTACCCTTTATGGCGTCGATCCTAAGATCTTTAACCAATTATCCCAAATACAGTATTTTTCTCGATTGATACAGAAATTAGAAGCAATTTCCCATTCCATTTTGCACTGGAGTTTGACAAAATTTGACATAATTTGACAGAAAGTTATATATATATATATTGGCAGGGTTTGTCCGAATTCCTGAATTCTTTACAAAACAAAACAAAATGTTACATTCAGGATAAGTTGAAACAAATTATTTCGGATCCATTTGAATTCCTCAGGGTAACAAATTAGGGACTTATCTACTAAGCAACTGAAACAGCAAAATGAAGGAAAAGGCCTTTTCCCCCTTAATTTTGAGCTTACAACTGTTTAGCAGATAGCTCCCTTATTTGTTATCTTTAACTCTGACAATCCCACATTAGGACAGTAAATTAGGGAGCTATCTAACAACCAGCTCAAAGATCACAATCAATTCATTTTGACCCGTCAGCTTTGTTTAGTATAGTTCCCTAATTTGATACCCTTATGTAAGATTACCATTTTTAAGGATACCAAATAAGGGAGATAAATGCTAAACAGTGCCCTAATTTGGCATCTTTGGACTAATGACACTCAGATTTTGTTTTTCTTCCATTTTTTTCTGAATTTTCTTTAGTTTGGAATTGATATTTCCGATGTCAGAATTATGTCCACGCACATCTCTAGTCTACACATATTCTGTTTATAGAATTATAAATCTCTGTGTGTAAATTGTTATTGATCTCCCTGTATATAACGTTAGTGATCTCCCTGTATATAAGGTTACAGATCTCTCTGTATATAAGGTTAGTGATCTCCCTGTATATACGGTTAGTGATCTCCCTGTATATAAGGTTAGTGATCTCCCTGTATATAAGGTTAGTGATCTCTCTGTATATAAGGTTAGTGATCTCCCTGTATATAAGGTTAGTGATCTCTCTGTATATAAGCTTAGTGATCTCCCTGTATATACAGTTACAGATCTCTTTGTACATAAGTTTAGAGATCTCTCTGTATATAAGGTTAGTGATCTCTCTGTATATAAGGTTAGTGATCTCCCTGTATATAAGGTTAGTGATCTCTCTGTATATAAGGTTAGTGATCTCCCTGTATATAAGGTTAGTGATCTCCCTGTATATAAGTTTAGAGATCTCTCTGTATATAAGGTTAGTGATCTCCCTGTATATACGGTTAGTGATCTCCCTGTATATAAGGTTAGTGATCTCCCTGTATATAAGGTTAGTGATCTCTCTGTATATACGGTTAGTGATCTCCCTGTATATAAGGTTAGTGATCTCCCTGTATATAAGGTTAGTGATCTCCCTGTATATAAGGTTAGCGATCTCTCTGTATATAAGGTGTAACGGAGCTCCTTGTACTCCGACTGAGTACCCTCCGTTGACGGATGCTCCTAGCGCTTCCTGAGGACTCCAAGCGCTGCAGCAGACACCGCAGACTCCGCAACCACCGTATCTTGACTGGAGTCTCGCCGTCTTCCTTCCACCCTGGATCAGCTTCTGTCCTCCAGGACTGTGTGGGAAAGAACTCTTCCTTCCACCCTGTATGAACCTCCAGCATCCAGGAATGTGTGGTGAAGACCCCTCCTCCAAGGAGAGCTGCAGGCGAACAAGTGCTCTTAAAAGAGCTAAGTGACTCAAGCTCAGGCACGCATAAAGGGCAAGCAATCCCCAGTGTGATTATAACAGTTTCCCTCCAATAACGAGACAAGGCTACGTTTAGAGGGATCAAGAAGAACTGTCAAACCTTTTATTTCCTTGGGGACCAGCTTTCAATAGGGTCACTACAATAACATTGTTGTGAAACCTTACTAAAAACCACAAACAGTCAAACCATATATAAAGCAAATACACAGTGACTTATCACAACACAAATAAGTACATTTTAGCAGGTGGGGAGTATGCCACACATTTACCAGTAATATCTCACCTGCCTGCAGACTAGCATGCAATCTACCCGAATATGCAAATGAACCAGTCTTGCACTAGGTAGTGAGCAGTTGCTGTTGCTACCAACAGAGGGCACTAGACAAGCTCCATAGCCAAATCCACCTAGTTGGTAGCAAACCTCAGCAGTACAGGAGAGCAGGCAATACATTTCACAGTACACACACTATAAACAATTACATTACACACACCCTGCACCTATAATGGGTACAGGGTGACTAAAACATAAGATAAATAAAGCAGCCTACATAAATAGTCTGTCTGAAGGTAGACTAGGGGCTTTAAAGCCAAATACATGAAAGAGTCATAGTCACAGGGAGGAGGTGCAGGCTCTCTAGACCAAGTAAGTGGCTTAAGGGCACTTGCCACATAAGGTTAGTGATCTCTCTGTATATAAGGTTAGTGATCTCCCTGTATATAAGTATAGTGATCTCTCTGTATATACGGTTAGTGATCTCCCTGTATATAAGGTTAGTGATCTCCCTGTATATAAGGTTAGTGATCTCTCTGTATATAAGGTTAGTGATCTCTCTGTATATAAGGTTACAGATCTCTCTGTATATAAGGTTAGTGATCTCCCTGTATATAAGGTTAGTGATCTCTCTGTATATAAGGTTACATATCTCTCTGTATAAAAGATTAGTGATCTCTCTGTATATAAGGTTAGTGATCTCCCTGTATATAAGATTAGTGATCTCCCTGTATATAAGGTTACATATCTCTCTGTATATAAGGTTAGTGATCTCTCTGTATATACGGTTAGTGATCTCCCTGTATATAAGGTTAGTGATCTCTCTGTATATAAGGTTAGTGATCTCCCTGTATATAAGTATAGTGATCTCTCTGTATATACGGTTAGTGATCTCTCTGTATATAAGGTTAGTGATCTCCCTGTATATAAGGTTAGTGATCTCTCTGTATATAAGGTTAGTGATCTCCCTGTATATAAGGTTAGTGATCTCTCTGTATATAAGGTTACACATCTCTCTGTATATAAGGTTAGTGATATCCCTGTATATAAGGTTAGTGATCTCTCTGTATATAAGGTTAGTGATCTCCCTGTATATAAGGTTACATATCTCTCTGTATATAAGGTTAGTGATTCTGTGTATATACGTGTTAGTGATTCTGTATATAAGTAGTGATCTCTGTATATAAGGTTAGATCTCCTGTATATAAGTATAGTGATCTCTGTATATACGGTTAGTGATCTTCTGTGGTTAAGTAAGGTTAGTGATCTCCTGTATATAAGGTTAGTGATCTCTCTGTATATAAGGTTAGTGATCTCCCTGTATATAAGGTTAGTGATCTCTCTGTATATAAGGTTAGTGATCTCCCTGTATATACAGTTACAGATCTCTTTGTACATAAGTTTAGAGATCTCTCTGTATATAAGGTTAGTGATCTCTCTGTATATAAGGTTAGTGATCTCCCTGTATATAAGGTTAGTGATCTCTCTGTATATAAGGTTAGTGATCTCCCTGTATATAAGGTTAGTGATCTCCCTGTATATAAGTTTAGTGATCTCTCTGTATATAAGGTTAGTGATCTCCCTGTATATAAGGTTAGTGATCTCTCTGTATATAAGGTTAGTGATCTCCCTGTATATAAGGTTAGTGATCTCTCTGTATATAAGGTTAGTGATCTCCCTGTACATAAGGTTAGTGATCTCTCTGTATATAAGGTTAGTGATCTCTCTGTATATAAGGTTAGTGATCTCCCTGTATATAAGTTTAGAGATCTCTCTGTATATAAGGTTAGTGATGTCTCTGTACATAAGGTTAGTGATGTCTCTGTATTAGCAGTTTCTCTTTATATAGGATTAGATATTTGTATTCGTATTTCTGCAGACTGTGCTATGTGCACAGTGTGTGTAACATATGCTAATAATATGAAGTAATCTATGAAATAAAATCTCAAGATGTCTTTTATTACACTTAGCGCCCCCTCCCCTACCCTGCTTCTCCACAGTCTGTATTCCCAGAGGTTGCAGCAATCTCTTCAAATATTGCCCAAATGCAGATTGCAATGCTCCAGTCAACGAGGTCTGCTAATAGGACTGCCCTGGCTTGTGGCCCAATGGCCCAGACAGACAGACACCTCCTGGAGAGGGGCAGCGGGTCTATATATAACATGGAAAGTTCAGCTAATATCCAGTGTACTGCCTCCTTTCTCTCTGTCACTGCGTGTACCCCTGTTCTGTGCTAATATGTGTACCCTATTTTATGTAACCCCATTCTGAGTGACTGTGTGTACCTCATTTATGTAACCCTATTCTGAGTGACTGTGTGTACCCCATTTTATATAACTCCTTTCTGAGTGACTGTGTGTACCCCTTTCTGTGTCACTGTGTATAATTATATTATGTGTCACTATGCTACCCCCATTTTTAGTAATTGAGAGAACCCCTATTCAGTAACACTGTGTTACGTCCATACTGTTTCACTGTTCATTTTCCCACATTTTGAGTAGCTGTATCACTGTTTGTACCCCAGTTCTAAGTTACTGAGTCTACCTTATTCTTTGTCGCTCTGTCTTTTTGTGAATTGTAACCCTCTTTGCAGATCTATTTTTTTTCTCTTCCATATTGTTACTTTGTTTCCCTTTACTTGTTTTCCTACTTCTCTCTCATAACTCATTTTCCTCTCTCACATTCCACCCCTATTTATATTCCCTTCTGTATCCACTTTCTCCATTCTCAATATTTGGGGTTCCAGATCTCCCCAGGAATTATGTGGATCCAGTTTGCCCCCCTCAACATCCCTCTGTCCAGGCGGCTGCAGACAGCTGCAGTTTTCCAATGGACCTTCTCCTTCTTGGCAATGGGTGAGTACAGCTTCTCTGCTAGGGACAGAACCCTGCAAGCTTCATCCTGATAGAACCCTGCAAGCTTTATCCTGATAGAACCCTGCAAACCTCATCATGAAAGAACCCTGAAAACGTTATCCTAATAGAACCCTGTTAACCTCATCCTGATAGAACCCGCAATCTTCATCCTGGTAGAACCCTGCAAAGGTCATCCTGATAGAACCCTGCAAACTCCATCCTGATAGAACCCTGTTAACCTAATTCTGATAGAACCCGCAATCTCCATCCTGATAGAACCCGCAATCTTCATCCTGATAGAACCCTGCAATCTCCATCCTGATAGAACCTTGCAAGCTTCATACTGATGGAACCCTGCAAACCTCATCCTGATAGAGCCCTGCAAGCTTCATCCTGATAGAACCCTGCAAGCTTCATCCTGATAGAACCCTGCAAGCTTCATCCTGATAGAGCCCTGCAAGCTTCATCCTGATAGAACCCTGCAAGCTTCATCCTGATAGAACCCTGCAAGCTTCATCCTGATAGAACCCTGCAAGCTTCATCCTGATAGAGCCCTGCAAGCTTCATCCTGATAGAACCCTGCAAGCTTCATCCTGATAGAACCCTGCAAGCTTTATCCTGATAGAACCCTGCAAACCGCATCATGAAAGAACCCTGAAAACTTTATCCTAATAGAACCCTGTTAACCTAATTCTGATAGAACCCGCAATCTTCATCCTGATAGAACCCGCAATCTTCATCCTGATAGAACCCTGCAATCTCCATCCTGATAGAACCCTGCAAGCTTCATCCTGATAGAGCCCTGCAAGCTTCATCCTGATAGAACCCTGCAAGCTTCATCCTGATAGAACCCTGCGAAATTCATACTGATGGAACCCTGCAAACCTCATCCTGATAGAACCTTGCAAGCTTCATATCGATAGAACCCTGCAATCTCCATCCTGATAGAACCCTGCAAGCTTCCTACTGATGGAACCCTGCAAACCTCATCCTGATAGAATCTTGCAAGCTTCATATTGATAGAACCCTGCAATCTCCATCCTGATAGAGCCCTGCAAGCTTCATATTGATAGAACCCTGCAAACCTCATCCTGATAGAACCCTGCAAACCTCATCCTGATAGAACCTTGCAAGCTTCATACTGATGGAACCCTGCAAACCTCATCCTGATAGAACCTTGCAAGCTTCATACTGATGGAACCCTGCAAACCTCATCCTGATAGAACCCTGCAAGCTTCACCCTGATAGAACCCTGCAGAGAATTCCATTGGACAGAGCCAATCAGAGCATTATGTTGCAAACCCTTTGATATAGTCTGCAGAACATTTCATTGTAGTAGGTTTTTTATGATGGATTTCTGCAGAGCATCACACAGCTAAATATAACTACCTTTAACTTTGCAGAGCATTGCTACATTAGAGGTCCAATGGTCTTCGTGCCATTGTTTTCTGCAGATCTGCACCTGATCCATTAACCCCTGCACTGTAACCATCACTTCTTTAGCCTTCCTGTTTGTAGTTTGCTCTACAATCATTGTGTTTGTGCTTTCTAGATATGGTTGTATGTGTTTTGATACGTACCATGGCAGATTGCTTAACATTGTAACATAGCTAGTAAAATACATTCACATTTTTTCCCCATTTGTTTTAGTGAGTACATTTTACTTACATGATTTTAATGCGTATACATGTTTGATTGAAGTGGAGTTTTATTGCCTTGCAGTTTTATGATCTATTTATACACACTGCAGATAAATGGGGGATTTATTGTGGGGCTCTGTCATGCACTCATTCACACTATACACTACTGTGAGTGTAATTGCTGTGGAGCTCTGCAATTCATTAATATACAATATATCTGCTTACAATCTATTAGGATTTGACGAAGGTGGTTATATATATACATAGTTAGGTGTCTTGTCCAGAAGGTGATCTGACTGGGATTTGAACCTGAGTTTTTCAGTTCTGAGGCAGATACCAGCTGATATAATTGTGAGTTTTATTGCTGTCCAGATCTGAGATATACTATACAGTGGTGTATCCTGGTTTTGTGCTGCCCTAGGCAGGACAAAACTCAGGCACCCCCCCGCGCCACCCCCACCCGCGCCACCGCCACCCAACCTTCCCCCCTGCTCCGCCTTCTAAATACACACACATTCACTGACAGATACGCATTCACTAGCTAACAGAAACACACAGTCACTAACAGACACACACTCACACACTCACTAACAGACACACACACTCACAGGCAAACACACACACTAACAGACATCCACACTAACACTAACATACACTAACATTAACATACACACTAACACTAACAGACACACACACTAACATACACACTAACAGACACACACTAACAGACACACACTAACAGACATCCACACACACACACTAACATGCACACACTAACAGACACAAACACTAACATACACACACTAACAGACACACTAACATACACACACTAACAGACATCCACACACACACACTAACATATACACACACTAACACTAACATATACACACACACTAACACTAACATACACACTAACAGACACTAACATACACACACTAACAGACACACTAACAGACATCCACACACACACACTAACATACACACACTAACACTAACATAAACACTAACATACATACACACACACACTAACAGACATCCACACACACACACACACACACTAACATACATACACACACTAGTGGGTTTTTTTTTGGTTTTTTTATTTAACCCCCCCCCAGCCTCCTTACCTTTGGTAATGCTGGGGGGGGTTCTTCCTCTCCCTGGGGTCCAGTGGCTGCAGCGCTGGGCGGGCGGGCGGCCGGCGAGGGAGCTCTTCCCCTGAGCGCTCTGCTCAGCTCCCTCGCGCGCCGCCAGCAGAGTGAGGCTGGGAGCCGGAAGATGACGTCATCAACCCGGCTCCCAGCCTCACTCTGCTGGCGGCGCGCAAGGGAGCTGAGCAGAGCGCTCAGGGGAAGAGCTCCCTCGCCGCCCGCCCGCCCAGCGCTGCAGCCCAGCATGTCTGTTAGCCGCGAGGCTAACAAGACATTTGCCTTGGGCATTTGGGGGGCGGCGTTTTTTGCCGCCCCCTGAAGAATGCCGCCCAAGGCAAATGCCTTGTTTGCCTCGCGGCTAATACGCCCCTGATACTATATACACACACACACAAAATGTCCGACAAGTACACAGGACAGTAAAAACATAGAAGTACTCTTATGCGGTATAATATCATTCACTCTATGTAAGAAACATGCACATATCATTAGATATTTGTTTAATTAAAGTAAGAATCACAAAACTTTATACATCACAGGATGAATCTGCTTAAAGGGGCACTATAGTCACCAGAACAACTACAGCTCTGGTGAGTAGAATCATTACCTGCAGGCTTTTTGCTGTAAAGACTGTCGTTTCAGAGAAAATGCAGTGTTTACATTACAGCCTTGAGACACATCCAATGGCCACTCATCATAGGGCTGCTAGAGGTGATTCCTGTGCCATCTCTATAAGAAAATGCTGATTGGCCAAGTCAGCATTTGGCCTAACTCCCTCCTTTACAAACTCAGCTAATATAATGCTTTTGCTATTGGAAAACATTGGATTTTCAGAGATGATGATATCAGTAAAGGAGGGGGCAGTGCCTGTGCTGGATTCTGGCGATAGGTACGTTTTATTATCTTTTAAGGGAGGTAAATGGTGGTTTTGACACTATTGGGTTAGGGGTATATTTTTATGTACCTGACTTATAGTGTTCCATTAAATTGCTAGGAACTTAATGTGAAATTTTTAGCTCAGAATAACGGAATTGGAAATATTATCTAAGTAAGCATACATATAGACCTGTGAGTAAACCCGGATAGATTGGAAATGCCAAAAGACAAAGAACGACCTCCCACTGAACACGCTCAAGTCAAGTTGACACAAATGGGAAGATATACTCAACAAGTTCTGTAGATGATACATTTAGTGTGACACTTATTTTCCTTCAGAACATCTTAATGATTGTCAACCTGATCCTTCTCAATATTATGTTGGAGATTCTTTCTCAATGTACTGTGAGAACCTCAGGTTGGATGAGGTCCATCAGCAGCTATATTAAACCAAATACTGGATGTGCCTATGAAAGCATAGACTGGGTAGTTGTAGTGTGTTCCTAGTTAATTAATGATTGAATGGATAGTGAATTATTGAGAAAGATTCTGGTTTATTTCAATAACTGAACATAATAATAATATGGACACCTTCTCCTAGCATTATCCAATTATAGGTCAAGTAGTAGTAAAATCTAATGTTAATCCAGATGTGGTCATCCAGAGTTATTTGCTAAGTAACGAGCTGAGCAAACCGCACAACTCAACAAGTTGACCTTCGAGAAGCTACAAACATATGAAGGCTTTCTTCTGTTTCCTAATTAAACTTCTTTGAGCATCAAAACATTTTCCCATTCTCTGTTTCTCATTAGCTCATTGCTGCCTTATTCTCTACATTGTCCTGGCATTCTCCCGATACTGGTTGTTTGCCCTTCTCTACGGAATCTGGCTCTATGTTGACTGGAACACTCCGTCCAAGGGTGGAAGGCGATCGGAGTGGGTGAGAAGTTGGACGGTATGGAAATACTTTGCTGACTATTTCCCCATGAAGGTGAGTTGGAGAAAGGCTACCATACTACAGAGAAATGAAAAGGTTACTGAGGGCTAGGACCAAGGATACCCCATGGTTTGAATTAAGTCTTGGTATACTCTATATTCATTGTTTTAATCATTACAGATAGATGTTTCAATACAGTTCTAACATCCTATCTAAAGCTTGCAGGGCTATTTCCTAAAATGAGAATTCTTAGGATATCAACGTGACTTCAAGGTAAATTTCAAATTTGAGGTCAACGCAGCCAAGCTGAAAGCATTGCTGATTGGTTACTATGCCTTAACTTCAAATTTCACTTTGAATTCCCAGCTAGTCTAACTTTAGTAAACCTTTTGTTATATTGCTGTAAGTACCAAGAAATGACAATGCTCATGGACTGAGTGTATATTGAAGCTTTTGACCAATGGGTAAAACATGGTGTAAATAAAACTTCATGCACCATAACCACTACAGATTATAAAGTTGAATAGGCAGAGTCGTATGTTAAATATAAAGGTTTTTTTTATTAAGAATGGGCAGATTTCAGTGAAGCAATGAGTTCTCTTATCCATAGTAATTATCTCAATTCTGCTTACTGTTTATACTTTGTGATACTTACTAGTTAAGAAATTTCAACGACCAGAGAATAGTGGATATTGATGAAAAATATCTGGTTTTAATACCTGCACAAACTTAATACAAAGGTTCTCAGTAACTGTCAGAGTAAAACTGTTATCTAACCACACAATACGTGTATCTATAAATGTTCATTTCCTGTGGAGGCGTCAGTTGTATGTTTTTACATTTAGGACTATTTTTAGAAGTATAATAATCTGTTATATACTATATAGTAACTGGAAACTGTTTAAGTGAACAGGAATATCTAAAAATAAAAGTAAATAAATAAATAAAAAAAAGGTTAATTTAAAGGGGCACTATTGTCAGCAGAACAACTACAGCTTAATGTAGTAGTTCTGGAGTCTGTAGCTTGTTCAGAGAAAAGGTAATGTTTACATTTCTGCCTACGGACACATATACATTATCTGACAAAAGTGAGTGCACCCTTCACAGTTTTGTAATTATTTTATATCTGTTCATGTGTCAACACTGAAGAAATGACACTCTGCTACAATGTAAAGTAGTACGTGTACAGCCTGTGTAACAGTGTAAATTTGCTGTGTACTCCCTTTTGTGAGATACTGTAGGTGCAGTCACTCAGATGACCACTAGAGGGGCTTCCTGAATCAGTGCACTGAGACAATGTCAGTAGTGAACTTTCCCCACAGACATGCATTGAGTCAATGAGGAGATGCTGATTGGTGCAGAGCAGCGTTTTGCCGCGCATGTGCAATATCCCCCCAATGCTTTCCTATGGGAAAGCATTGGATTGGCTGAGATCATCAAGTTTGATGATCTCAGCCAAGGGAGTGGAGAGTGGGTGGGGCCAGCCGCGACTTGACCTAAACGGTGCTGGAGAAAGGTGAGTAAATCAGGTAAGGAGGGAGCAGGGGGCTAAATAGTGTTAGAAATACATGTTTGTATTGCTGACATTATAGTATTTCTTTAACTCATTAACATTTGTCTGACAGCGGTTAGAATGAGCCAGGAACTGATGTATTGGGAGCCAGCAAGCAATAATAACAAGAAGCACAGTGCTTTTAACACAAGATACTTTATCAGATTTCTCAGAACCTTAGTTACTATTGTGGAATGATGGGCAGTGCCTCAGATTACAATCTAACTGTGTTGCTGTCCTTTACTGTGACTTTTGTTTGCTGTGGAGCTCTGTGATGCAGTGACATTCAATGCACGTTACTGTTGGTGTTATTTCTGTGGAGCTCTGTGATGCAGTGACATTCAATGCACATTGCTGTTGGTGTTATTTCTGTGGAGCTCTGTGATGCAGTGACATTCAATGCACATTGCTGTTGGTGTTATTTCTGTGGAGCTCTGTGATGCAGTGACATTCAATGCACATTACTGTTGGTGTTATTTCTGTGGAGCTCTGTGATGCAGTGACATTCAATGCACATTACTGTTGGTGTTATTTCTGTGGAGCTCTGTGATGCAGTGACATTCAATGCACGTTACTGTTGGTGTTATTTCTGTGGAGCTCTGTGATGCAGTGACATTCAATGCACGTTACTGTTGGTGTTATTTCTGTGGAGCTCTGTGTTGCAGTGACATTCAATGCACATTACTGTTGGTGTTATTTCTGTGGAGCTCTGTGATGCAGTGACGTTCAATGCACATTACTGTTGGTGTTATTGTTGTGGAGCTCTGTGATGCAGTGACATTCAATGCACATTACTGTCGGTGTTATTGCTGTGGAGCTCTGTGATGCAGTCACATTCAATGCACATTACTGTTGGTGTTATTGTTGTGGAGCTCTGTGATACAGTGATATTCAATGCACATTACTGTTGGTGTTATTTCTGTGGAGC